CAGCTGCAGGCCATGCGCCTTGCGTTGGTTTCGACAGCGGTGTCAGAGAGTCGGCTGTCCAGAAAGCAATGGCAAACTACTGGACGTAATTTGCCTAGAGAAACCACAAAACAGCCAGGGGCTGCTGGGGTTGGTTCTGCAACGTCACGAAAAGGATACGAAACTAACCTAATAGTCGCTTTAAGGAATTTATTTTTAGGGTAGCCCTGAGCCTATTTCGCCCCCCCCCCCCCCCCTCCCATGGGGTATGGAAACTTACACTGGAAGAGCACGTATTTGACAGAATAAGTCTCCTTGGTGCCCTGTCTGGTGCCATATAACAAGACTAGCATCAGACAGGGCACTGCAGAGAGTAGTGTTATACTCCTACGTTAACAGAGTCAGAGGTCTACCAGGCAGAATACGGACCCCAGTAATATCGCAGACACAGAAGGGTACTTTATACGAAGCCAACAGACGGACATATTCCAGAGATCTCTTCCTGCCCTGATTCTGCCAGGTATTACAGGGATTTAGAAAAGAAGGCGAAGACGAACAAAATAGTTAGTCTCATGAAAATGTGAATATAAAAATACAGCAGATATAGAGTATACATACTTGATAAAATGTATAGACGGTGTTAGTCGCAGTCGAGGTTTCAACTTAACTGCTATCGGGTTTTCCCCATACTTGCTCTGTTCCTGTGCCAGTGAAAACCAAATGAAATGTCCCTCACTGTTTGGTTTGAAAAAAAATCTGTTGAACAAACAATTAGTCCCGGCACAGTCTAGAAATATGCGCACGCAGTAAATTCATATGACAGCTGCTAGAGGTACCAAAGCCAACAGTCGCCACCAGAAATGTAGTTTGTCGTTGATGGAAGTAGTAAGTGACGATAAGTTGGCTAAACACACGTAAAATTATTACCTAAGGTATCACACCAGCCTACATGTAAACCGGCTACCGGTCATTTTGAATACAACGACACAAGCGCTGCACAAATTAAAGGCATTCCACATGAAAACACAGCTCACAGTGCTGCAATAAGCATTAAACATAGTAGTTCAGGCAGCGAAACCGTAGACTTCCGTCCAGTGTGGAAACTGCATTAGCAATGTGCTGTAGTTAGCAATAATAACATTCCGCCATACCGTTTCCTCTATATTGGACCGCAAGTCAAACAGATCAGAAGTAGCGTTCAATTTTAAACAACATAATATAACATCAGTCTTGTGGCAACAGGCCAAGCGCCATTTTCTGAATCTACAGTTTGCAACACCAAGCTGGTCACAGCTGAGAAACATTCCAAGTGAAATACGCAACTCACAGTGTTACGTCATGCACTCAGCTCAGTAGCCTGGCGACAAAACTATGTCCTTTCAGTCTACAATGGAGGAAAATACAATGGAGGAAAATACAATGGCTATCGTTCGTCAAGCAAGAACATAAAATGTGCTACGGCTAAAAACAGTGACCGTGCCTCTTGTCCCCGAGATAAATTGGCGCCCTACCACATAATATATATGACCAAACAGAACTGGGAGGGGGGGGGGGGTGTAGGAATCATTGTGATTTTGTTTTTTCTTTAGGAAAAAACGGATAGCTTTTACAAAATCAAAAAGGACCCAGCTTGATATGCCACACGTGGTGTTTTCTGTAAGCAAACTGTATATGCATACATGATGGCCTGCTTTATCAAGGACAGTTCCTTTGCTATCTTAATTTTATTTATCTTTCTTTGTGGTGAGCAATTACACCTGAGTTTGTTCATTTGTTGCCTAAGTTCTGATTCTGATGGGTCCTGGTTCCTGTTTTAGTTGGCTGTCCGCTAGCTGTTGCACTGTTCATCTGTGTTAGTACCAAGTCAGTCCCCAGCCACACCACCGCGAAACAAACAGTCCCGCACACTGAGCGACCTAAAACAATCAGGATATTGCTGCTAGGGAGACAAGGTATCAAGGCGATGGGAGCCCTTAAATGCATGCTGATTACTGTTGGACTAGAGGCACCTTATCGATTGACTACAAGAAGCAAGCAAAGAGACCTCGAACAAAGCCTCTGCATAAAGACGGGAAAGATTCAACTGTTTCTTTGTAAATTCTATATGAACTTTAAATATTTTGTATCGACTGTTTCTGTCATTTTATGTTGAAATATATATTAACTGAGTATGCAGTAACAATTTTTGTAAAGGTAAAATAGAAAGACTGCCCGTTTACTCCATGGAATTAACATACATTATTTATATCACTAAAATGTAAATACGTCATTTAATTTTAAAAAAATAACAGAGTCAACTGGTAAACTTTTTTATGATATTCGATACAGCATGTCAAAGTCAATCAGAAATAATGTATTTCTTCTTCTTCTTCGCGTTCACTAGCTGTAAACTCTAGCGGAAAGTTCTGGTTGTTCATCCACTTCTGGACTGCAGTCCTGCTCCAGAACCTGAGTGTTGCGTGTGCATCCGTTTTATATATCTGACTCATCTGAAGCGCTGCACAAATTAAAGGCATTCCATATGAAAACACAGCTCACAGTCTGCTGGTTCCTTGTCTCTCATGTAGATGCACTCCCTCTTTGAAGGAAGTTCCCAATTATTCGACTCTTACGACATGCTTTTGGGTAGGCAGTGGGTTTATTCTTGTTTTCCCTATAATATGGCCCCGAAACCCACACATGGAAAATGATGTTTTTAAATTCTGGTACAACAAACTTCTGAAAATTTGTTAACCAGTGTCATCACATTCGACGTCACCCCGCAGTGAGCATTCCTATGCCTGCTGAGTCCTACAATGCAGCAGCCTCTCCAAGGTACTTCAACTAAATTTTTCCATGAGAGGTTGGCAATAATCTCTCCTATCTTGATATCAAAGGCGGCACAGACGTGCTTCACCATGCTTTACACCAATGTCACGCAATCGTGTTACTATCAGAGATTCGTCATTATCCACGTTGCTGAAAGAAACCAAACATGCTAGCTTGGACTCTGCCCATAATATCGACAAGATTACATGGGGTGTAACGCAATGGGGGACTAGATTTGGAGTCCTATGTAACGTTCAACGGCAGCACGGGATGATATGATGACGACGAATTTAGTGGTTACGACTACGACGATGATGATGACGGTGATTATGATGTTAATGATGATGAAAGTTGCGACGACGGCGATAATGATGATGATGTACCTGTTTTGGGGACAATCATAGGATATATCCGCTAATCTAAAACAAGGTAAATCTCGCCTTCGCGGATCTCCCCAAAATTTCCCTAAAACACATATCCGGAAGTCCGAATGTTTTTCTTGTCGTATTTAGAGTGTGACGAACGAAGCGAGTGTGTAACATTATGTTAAACATTAATAACAATATGTGAATGAGTGGGCTGCGTGGTCTCAAGCCATGGCATCCGCCTCGAGTGCTGGAGGTTCAGGGTTCAATCTCCAGTGAGTTCTGGGATTTTTTCACGTGGGCTAGGGTCTGGTCTCTGGGTGGTGAGATCGGTGCGCATGTAAAAAAAAAAAATCTTTTGGCAGATGGAAATCGAAAAGAGTAGACTAACGGAGCTGCCCAGGAACAATTTGGAGTTAAAAATCTACGCAAAGTATTTTCAGGATCCTCGCCGGTGCCACAGAGCCTGTGCACTGTGCTGAGCTTCTTCGGACTCAAACTTCAGTTAGAAGAAGAACTGAGCACTTATTGGTTACTACCCGTGTGCTATGATGTTGGTCTGTTGTTCAAACTTCAAACCTACGTGGATGAACGTAAACTTAAATGGCCAATGCAGAGGTGTCGTATTTTTGCAGTGACTCAACTCTCTACCTGTTTATTTGAATGTCCTAATTCGAATCCGCCTGAAATGCGGATTGTGTGTGTGTGCGCGTGCGTGTGTGTTGTTTGGATAAAATAATCTGGACTCCCAGGTTGACCCTCAGCCCACAATGTGGGTAAAGAAATATCCTGGGAAGAAAAGGCGGAAGTAATCATGTTGACCACAACAACCATTTCGCGCTAGTTTGAATCTAAATATGTCAAGCAACTATGCTTTATGTGCAAATAGACTGAAGCGGGTCTTTTGTGTCTGTGTGAGTGTGGGTATGCTGTTTTTATTTTTTTTATTACGAAAGGTCAATGCTATTTATTTGCTTTCTGAAAGAAAGAAAGAAAGAAAGAAAGAAAGAAAGAAAGAAAGAAAGAAAGAAAGAAAGAAAGAAAGAAAGAAAGAAAGAAAGAAAGAAAGAAAGAAAGCAAGAAAGCAAGCAAGCAAGCAAGCAAGCAAGCAAGCAAGCAAGCAAGCAAGCAAGCAAGCAAGCAAGCAAGCAAGCAAGCAAGCAAGCAAGCAAGCAAGCAAGCAAGCAAGAAAGAAAGAAAGAAAGAAAGAAAGAAAGAAAGAAAGAAAGAAAGAAAGAAAGAAAGAAAGAAAGAAAGAAAGAAAGAAAGAAAGAAAGAAAGAAAGAAAGAAAGAAAGAAAGAAAGAAAGAAAGAAAGAAAGAAAGAAAGAAAGAAAGAAAGAAAGAAAGAAAGAAAGAAAGAAAGAAAGAAAGAAAGGATGGATGGATGGATGGATGGATGGATGGATGGATGGATGGATGGATGGATGGATGGATGGATGGATGGATGGATGGATGGATGGATGGATGGATGGATGGATGGATGGATGGATGGATGGATGGATGGATGGATGGATGGATGGATGGATGGATGGATGGATGGATGGATGGATGGATGGATGGATGGATGGATGGATGGATGGATGGACAGATACATACATGACTGAAGAAAGAAAGACATAAAGAAATGATGAAAAAGTAAATGAATGAAAAACAGACAGACAGACAGACAGACAGACAGACAGACAGACAGACAGACAGACAGACAGACAGACAGACAGACAGACAGACAGACAGACAGACAGACAGACAGACAGACAGACAGACAGACAGACAGACAGACAGACAGACAGACAGACAGACAGACAGACAGACAGACAGACAGACAGACAGAACAACCGTGACTTACTTTGCTTTGATTATCCGGATCTTCTCTATTCTCCCGGGAGCCCGGTGCGTCCTCAACAGACTACGAAACACCAGAGAGTTCTTGGTTCCATCTTTTGATTTGGCTACTAAAATAACCGTGTCCATGGGCAGACTGGGATATTTAGAGTTGTCCGGCCCGGCAGGCGTAGGGGAAGACGGGCAGGAACTGTTGTCGGTCTGTGTGTCCACCGTGTCTGTGGTATCTGTATCACTTTCCATCTCCTCCTTAATCTGTACTGCTGGGCACGGGAGGCTGTCTGTGACGACCATGGCGAGAAAGTATGAAAGGGCAGGTGTGTCCAAATGCGGTCAATGTTTTACTTATATTTCGTGTCTTCTACAAGACACTGTTGGGATGCTAGAGGCGATCAGTAACGTCCTACTGGCAGTTGCAGACATATTATAAGACAGAAGAACAATGTAGGCAGTGATGGGAACAGTCTAAATTCCATTTACATCCTGAATAATGCTAACGGTCTTTCATGGGCTTTCTTTTGACAGTTTTTCTTCTTTTGACTGTTCTATCTAATTAAAAAATCCAAATGCTGTTTTTTGGAAATCTGGAAGCAATTTTTGTTTTTAAATGTTTGATTCCTAAAGTTCTGCACTATCTGAGCAATGGCAAAGGTCTTTGAACTCCTAAATAATGATATTGGTCTGTTAATTCCCAAGTCATAAGAATGATCTATGAACTTCCAAGTACTCTCAAATGTATCAGAAGTCCGAGTTAACAAGGAGGATCTATCAACTCCCGAGTACTGGCTACAGTCTAAGAACTCTGAAGCAACCAGAATAGTCTTTGAAGATCGAGTAATATGAAAGGTATTTGAATTCCTGAATAATGAGTGTAATGAGGATGTTATTTGCACTTCTGAGTCAGGACAAAGCTTTTATGTGAACTCCACAGTAATGACTAATGTCCTTAAAGGGTCAAGTATTGAAGAAGTTCTTTGAACTCTTGAGCAATGATGCCGGTCTTTAAGCACCTGGGTAATGACAAAATGCTTTCGCTACCCGAGTAAAAACAGAGGTCTTTGAATTCATGAGTCCAGCAGAGTTCCTTGGAATCCCAAGTGACAATGAAGGTCTTTTTAATCCAGAGTAAAAAGAAAACGCTTGCAGTATCCAGCGACGGACTGTCAACCATAAACACCCAGCTTTGTAACAAGAATTGTGAGAACTGGTTAGTTGCTTTCCTCACAGTACACAATCCTGCACGAATGCCAGTCCCGGAGATGTTGATCTGGAATTCAGTAAAAGAAATATAGATTGAAAACTTTGTAATATTTAGACATGATTCTCTAGATTTCATTTCTGTATGAAAGAATATATATTTATTACGGGTTGATTTGTGTTAAGCACCTGACAGTCTTTAACCCTCCTTATGTCTTCCTTCTACTCCTCCTTATATCTTCCTTCTTCTCTTCTTATCTTCCTCTTCTTATCTTCCTCCTCTTATCTTCCTCCTCTTATCTTCCTCCTCTTATCTTCCTCCTCTTATCTTCCTCCTCTTATCTTCCTCCTCTTATCTTCCTCCTCTTATCTTCCTCCTCTTATCTTACTCCTCCCCAAAGTACCTGAACCGCTACGTTTCGACGCCGCCTAGTAGTCAGCGTCTGTAGTTTAAGAGTTGCGAACTCGCTTCATAATGCCGGGGTACCAGCTTCGATTTCAGCTGCAGGCGATTTTTCGCCTTGTGTTGGTTTCGACAGTGGTATCTAGAGCCGACCGTTTAGACAGCAGTGGCAAACTACAGATACAGACACACACACACACACACACACACACACACACACACACACACCAAGCTAAAGTTAGTTCTGCAACATCTTGTATAGGATACGCAACTAACTTGACTTCGGCACCTCTATGCAGAATGCTTCTACTGAGAATCCGGGATCAGTTTTGTTTCCACGTGTGATTGCCAGCAGCAGCCAGTAGACATGTGGTTTCTCGAGAAATGACTATGAAATGTAGATATTACAGTCATAGGATTCAGTGCAACAAAGTACCTGTTTCACAAACCTGAGTTGCCGTCAATGGCGAGCTCAAGCGCATTGCAACCCCCACCCCCTTTCCCCCCACCACATTTTCTCCAAAATTTAAAGTTTTTTTTTTTTTTTTGGGGGGGGGGGGGGCGGATTCTCCTTCCATTAAAAATAGGATAAGTGGTCGGGAGTGGGGGGGGGGGGCCTTTAACATGTAGAGCAGCGGTTCTCAACCTGTGGGTCGCGACCCATTTTTGGGACCCAATGACTTTTCACAAGGCCAAGGCTATCGAAAACACGTATCTGTTGAAGTTATGGAGCAGCAACGAAAACAATTGCATGGCTGGGAATCGCCACAGCACAAGGAACTGTATTGAAGGGTCGCCTCATTAGAAAGGTTGAGAACCACTGATGAAAAGCTTATTTCTTTGTTTAAATATGGGGGTTCTTGTATTTTAGTTCATCCATCTCGGGGACTTCCAAGTGTTGCCGAAGAGTTCCCGGGGAAAGTCTAATAGTAGAGGGGTGTTACGGTGTGAAATGACCACCTACCTATGCTAACCCTAGCCTTCCTTTGATATTAGACTTCCCCTGGGAACTTATGGACTCGCCGAGATGGAGTGAACTACCAATATGTGTTTTTATCTTGTATGTTATTTCAAACATAAGGTTAGGTTTATTTGCCAGTCAGTATATAATAATATTATTTTTGATTATTATTACTAGCATTAATATTATTTTATGAGTGCTCACTTAAACATCGGGAGTTGCCGTGGCGTTGGCGGCTAGAAGGTCGTGACACTGACCTCCAGGTGGACCCAGCCCTGAGTGGGTACCAGGTGCAGTCCTGGGAAGTAAAGGCGGTCGGCGTGATGCTGACCACATCACCCATCAAGTGCCGCTTGGTCTATAAAAAATATAGGTTTAGCCCGATTTTCCCAATGTGTCTAAAGGAGTGGATAAGGGACGTTTACTTTTCACATAAACATGGCTTTAGCCACGACCGGCTCCTACTGGCGGGCCGTGCTGTGGAGGTCACCGGGTCGGGCTAACGATGCGTTACGCATAATTTTTTTTACCGAAGTTGACAGACAGTGAACACTAAGAAGTAAACAGATAATAAACACATTCTCGATTCATCAGCGAAGTGAGCGTCCATTAGCTCGCAGGCAGACGACTTTGTCGCCGGTCGAGACAGTATTTGGATATGTCTCCTTTGGTCGCATCAGCACTGCATGATTTCTTTTTAGAGCTACTTGATAGCGAGAAATGCTAAGCCATTTTATATGGCGCACATAACCTAGTCACAATTATAACTAAAGCTCACCCCCTCTTTCCCTCTTTGCGGATGCTGGTTCAACTTGACGATTTTTTGTTTCTCCCCAAAGCAAACCAAGCCAGGGCATATTTGATTATGTTCTGGTGCCTGAGACAACATATACTATGGTTCAAAACTGTACCAAAAACAACATATCAAGACAAACATACTGGAGAAAAAGACACTGGTGGAAGCCAAACTTTATGGACAGCTGAGTGAATTTAAAGACAGTAAAGTTCACACTAAGGATAACACTAAGGATAACACTGCAGATAAATAAGGTGTTGAAGTGAACAACAGAAGAAGAAGAACGCATACTCTTCGAGAGGATGCATGGCTCTTTTTCTTTTATTTCACTCAATCTCGGGACTCCGAGATTTCGCAGGGAGTTGCTTTTAAAATCCAATAGTAAAGAGGTGTTAGGGTGTAAAATACACACCGACTTACACTACCCCCCTCCCCTGCCCCCAATATTAGACTTTCCAGAGAACTCCCAACGCAATCTCGGATTTATCAACCCTAAGACGGGGAGGACAGGGGGAGAGCTCCATGCAATGGCGAAGGATAGAACGACTTGGCGTGAGTTGGTTGAGGGCCTATGCTCCATTGAGGGATAGAAAGGCAGAAGAAGAAGAAAAAGACGTGAAATGCGTAGTCTTCGAAAGGATACATAAACAGACAAAACAAATATATATTCCTAACATGTCACTGCAAGCATTCAGGTAAGGTTAATGACCCATTATCTCTGACCCTGTGAACTTTCACAGGATTGGCTCTACAAAACGGACAGTCTCTTTAAATAAATACTTTAACACATTTATAGAAAAACATTACATTATAAAGAACTGTTTATGTCTGCCTATATGTCTGTCTGTCTGGTTGACTCTAAATGCCTGTAGGCTTAATATTTTTTAAATTAATTTTTATTGTTAATAATTTTATTGGGCAATTAAATTAGGCTCACCTAATTGAGCCAGCCTCCCCTGGCCCCATGCCAGCCTCCCCTGGCCCCATGCCAGCCTCCCCTGGCCCCATGCCAGCCTCCCCTGGCCCCATGCCAGCCTCCCCTGGCCCCATGCCAGCCTCCCCTGGCCCCATGCCAGCCTCCCCTGGCCCCATGCCAGCCTCCCCTGGCCCCATGCCAGCCTCCCCTGGCCCCATGCCAGCCTCCCCTGGCCCCATGCCAGCCTCCCCTGGCCCCATGCCAGCCTCCCCTGGCCCCATGCCAGCCTCCCCTGGCCCCATGCCAGCCTCCCCTGGCCCCATGCCAGCCTCCCCTGGCCCCATGCCAGCCTCCCCTGGCCCCATGCCAGCCTCCCCTGGCCCCATGCCAGCCTCCCCTGGCCCCATGAAATAACTGGGGATGATTCTACAACATTCTATTATTGTTCACTGACTAGAAAAATAACAAAGTAATATAATTACAATGTTTTTTTTTTAACGTATCCAGAAACCATGAGTTGTAAACCCTTTGGCTCGGTACTATGGATATCGCAACCCTTCGGCATTGATTCCATTATAGGTACCGTTAATCTGGGAGAAATGTGGCTTTTCTGCCTACCCCCGGGAGTGAACCCGGACCACAAGGAGTTCGTCACCCGGCCGCCGCGAAAGTCAGGTTTAACCAACTTCGCTAGAGAGCCGGGCATTTGTAAATGTTTAAAAATAGAAAGTGGGAAAGTGGTTCGACCTGAGAAATTTCACTTCTTCAGCGTTCGGCGTCCAGAGTGCGGCTATCACATTATGTTGCGGTTAACAGCTGGGCTGTTAAATTTGCCCTTTTTTGGTCCAACACTTCCAATTTCAGCACGAACCCTAATTAGTCGGTTTTTGCAGATAAATTTATAAACAAAAACAAAAACAAACAAAAAACAGGTCAGGGCACTGGGAAAATCAGGAGACACAATCGCCTTATTTCAAAACAGAATTTAACTTTTAACACAACACACGGAAGGTTAATTTGA